GATTGGGAAGAACATTATCCTCTGGTAGCATATCTTTCATAAGGGCTAATAACTCTGAAACTTTTATCCGACCATCCATTGCCGGCTTTTAAGTTGTACAACTTTAACACCGCAGACAATCTTGTGAATTTTGTACAACCATTATACAACGGTTTCTCTGCATCGCTTACCAACCTCTCGAACATTTTGGGACAATCGTTAAGATCTTCTTCAAGCGCTTCTGCAATTTCTTCGACTCGATCATAATCGTATGTATCTGTGCAATCATCATTTGAAACATAGGTCCTTGCATACCCCGATTCAACATTCCCGTTACTTTTCTCACCATGAATATTCCAACATGTATAACTCCTATCAATTCCATACCGAATTAAATGCGATGCCAACTGAACTGCGTCAACCCGGTTCCCATAACAGCAATACAAACAGGGACATGTCATACGACTGGGGTCTTTGGCGTGCGCAACAACAAACTTAACAAACTCGGAAACACCATTCTCGTAGTCTTTCGACAATCGATTGGAATACATCCATGTCTTATCCATATCAACTAATTAGTGCACAAAAAAGTAGTATACTGCGTTTCTGTCAAAATGCAAAGTATACACGGAATGAATCCGTATCAAGAAAATGCAACATACGAAAGACAATTTAAGACAAATTCATCACAATATATACCCGTAATTTGAGGAAGAAAGTTACCTCTCAGATGTTTCGAACTCTAAGAAACGCGGAGAATGAGCGTCATACGTCGAACTAGGCCGGGAAACGCTGCAATTTCATAGAATGTTATTCAATATTTCGGATCGATTGTCGAAAGATATATACTATTTTAACATAAAGGTTCACAATAAATGTCACATATATATTTTCAATGTTTGGGAAAGCTATGACAATAATACAACACAAATATTAGAAATAGTGAATTCACAAAGTCAACATGAGGTTGATGCGATGAACTGATACTATTAAATAAATGTTTCACACGATTCACCATATTTTTAGTAACAAGTTCATATATCACATTGCATATGGAAATAGGATGAAATGGTTTAAGATACTCAGACTAGAAATGGGGCAGCATTGTTATCATAACACAAGTTAATCGGAAGTTGCTAACGGAAACAAGAAAATTAAGCATTAACATTCACGAAAGATTCAATTAAATGCGGATAAATGTCAAACGGAAAATTAAGGCGAAATATGTACATGGAACCAAGTCCGGACAAAGATTCAATAATTCACCAATTCACCATGATTTGATACCAACAGCCATGAACTAACATGAATCTAACAAAGATATTCATCAATCAACCTATTCCTCTTTTCATCCTTTTTACACTGTTCAAGAAATCAAGACTTATGCATATTCAATAATTCAAATATATCATGAATTTTCAAGAACAAAGTTCAACACAATTCAAGAATCATATAATTGTTTAACAAGTCAACTTCAAGAATCACACCCCAATATTCAATTCAATGTCAAATTTACTCATGAAATTAAAACCTTGTTCAATTCAACAATCCAAAGTTTAACCTAACTCATGAACATCCAACATAATTTCATTCCTAATTATCATCATCACCTTATAAACAAATGTTTTCCAAATATGTCCTTGTTCCACTCCTTAATAAAAATAATCATACCATCTAACAATGAGACTAACTATCCCCAATAAACCCCATTTTCACGCAGCCAATACCCAAAGTTATCATGCATAAGCCAATCTGAGTTATCATGCGTAAGCCAATCTGAACCGTCCAAATCTAATAATTAATTCTATGGTTAACTGGAAGAAAAGCTAGCCCAAAACTCATAAGAACACAACAATGAATTTCATTGAACCAATTTAAGGCGAAACAGAAATGTAGGTTAAGCTTGTTCAAGATGTAGGTTTTTGTTTAATATAAGATGAACAGATAATGGAAGAAGATAATGGAAGAAGAAGAATCTTACCAAGATGGAGAAGACAGAATGAACGGCGGCGACGACTGAAGAAGACGGAACGAACGGCGGCGACGGCAAAAATGAGGAAGACGAACGAAGAAATGAAGAAGACTGAACGAAAGAAATGAAGAAGACTGAAGAACAGATTTAGGGATTTTTAATTTAATTATAAAAACAACCTACGAAAGCGCTTTTAAAAGCGCTTTCGTATGCCCCCCATATGAGAGCGCTTCTGAGGTAAAAAGCGCTTTCGTATGCCCCCCATATAAGAGCGCTTTAGAAAGCGCTTTCGTAGGTCCCCCTTTCAGAGCGCTTTTCAAAAGCGCTTTTATAGGGCCACCTATAAGAGCGCTTTTCAAAAGCGCTTTCGTAGATTAGATATTTCAAATACCTATGAAAGCGCTTTCTGAAAAGCGCTTTCGTAGGAAACCCTATAAAAGCGCTTTTTTTAAGCGAATTTTTTTAAAGGCTACGAAAGCGCTTTCTCTTAAAAACGCTTTCGTAGATGCGCTGCCAAAAATTATTTTTTTTGTAGTGATCACTTACAAAGAAAGTTCTTGAAGAAGAGGGAAAAAAGGAAGGCTCCGTAACTCTCCATTTATATAAATCACCAATTCTTTTTCTACAAAAGCTGTCGCGAAGTCAAACAATTCCAACAAATAATCTAAATACAAGTCAATCAAATATAACATTTTATTTATTTATAAAAAAATGGCATGAAAACATTCGGAGACTTTTTGACAATTTTTTCTTTTTCCAGATACCACTATTTTTGCTTAGTCACTCTTAACATTATATGGTGTATTGTTAACTGGGCGATATCATATAATCCTAACACATAGTGGTCTAACTTATGATATCCCTGCATCTAGTAGTGTGTCAAAATAGTTTTTGACTGAAGGATGTGTAAATTTCAACAACAAAAGAATTATAGACATTCTTTCTATATTTTCTCAAACAACAAAAATATAAACGCACAACTGTCGGTGATGGCAGTGCCATTCATAATATATTCTCTTTCGCACATGATTGTATGTCTCTCTCTATCAACTACCCATGAAAAGGAGGCTCTGATTAGCTACCTTTACTATTATCCTTCCTTAATCAATTATTTTTATTATTTAGGCATTATAATAGACACCCCAAATAATACTTTTCCAAATTTCACGATTTTCTTTTTCAAAACAACTTGAATGGTTAACACATTTAAACTATAATGATAAAATCTTGAATAATATATAACATGAAGATAGGTTTATAATTGGTGACAATTCCCAACTTACAAACCATTTATGTAGAAACAACTTAAATTCAACTCATTTTTTCACTTAGCCAAATTTAAAATTCGGTAGGATATCTCATATCAAATTTTCATTATCGGATCATGTTATCTCCCGATTAAATATAATTAAGTCATCATTCATAATAATGATCACATTTACAATAAACGCATGTCTCAAAATGACTCAATTTTTAATACGTGAAACACTTTTAATAAGGAGGAAAAGATAATGAGAATAAGAAAATAAAAATAGATATTATTGAATAATAAAAATTAATTTATAATACGTCTATTTATATACAACTAACTTGTATACTGAAGAATAAAGTCTAACCCTAATTAACTTTAGGTTTATTTAAAAAAAAAAAGAAAAAAAAAAGAAACTAGCCGTTGAACGGCTTATTTTAATTTTATAATATGAAAAAGAAAAAGAACCGTTACTTACATATGATGTATTTGTCATTAACATTTATCAAAAATTACATTGCCACGTTGACGAATCGCAAGTATCAACCATGCGTTGCACCTGCTCTAATCCTAATTAAGTTTGAGTTTGGACCAGGCATCTTATTTTCAATTTTCAATACTTTTTATTTTAATTAAGACGTGGTTGGGCCCAATTCAATCCTACAAAACCAACTTGTAGGGTGAGGATTGCCCCCACTTATAAACACATGTTCAGGCCATATATCGTCCGATGTGGGATTCTTAACAATTTTATTAGTACTCTTATTTCGTTTTTAAGTTTACTTGTACTCTTTAATTACTGTCATATATTAGAGTAAGTGAGCATAACAAATTTATATTTTGTTTTTTTTTTTGCAATTTTATATTTAAGAAAGGGATTGAAGTGAAATGCCAAAACAATTCAAGTGTGAATGAAGACGAGGTATATTAGCATTGATCTTGAACTCAATGAAATCTAATGGGAATGATCAGTAGACTGTTGCTCCAATTTTCATCCATAATACAGTAAGATTTAAATAAATGCTATGTTTTAATTCGTAATGCACATGCAAAAACGCGCACATATCTGTTATATATGTTTATATTTATGACAAGGGGAAAAACGAAGTAATGCACCGACAGAAAGCCAAAACATGTGATGTAGCATCATAACAGTGTGCTGTGCTCTGCTGTTCTATGCGGTGGAACCGTCCAAAGACAGCCTTCGCGCATCACACGGTTTAGTTTACTTCTTTTTGTCTTGTTTCTTTTGTCAAAGTTAACTTGTTTCATAATGAAAATGAAACCCCACCAAAAATTAAAGTGGTGGATTTATTTTGTTTTTTCGAAAGGCAAAGAAACCAGCTATATATATATATATATATATATATATATATATATATATATATATATATATATATATATATATATATATAGCACCGACACCGAACAGCTGGTAAATATATGATTTGATGATATTGCAATCCACAAAAGATCCTAGTTATAGTATTATTATACACAGAGAGAGAATAACAAGAATAATATGTAAAATACAACTAGTAATTACGTACAACCTTTTTTGTGACGTTTATGACGACGGACAAGGCAACAATATTAATGAATATTACACGATTATTCAAACAAAAATATTAATCGTACATAAAAAATACTATAGCAGAAGGAAGAAGGAATTTTATGAGGTAGCCTATTGCAGAAGCTAGCAGAAGCAATTTGAAGAATTGATGCAGGACTAATTTATTTGAAGACGCGTTCACAAAAAATAATTAAACACTCGCCAGTATTATAGATTGGTGATGAATGTTATATCATTGTTTGCGGATTTGGCGTGTAGGTTTGAGGAAGAAGAGAGTGATCAGAATTGGTGATTCTTTTGATCTCAGAACGCGTCCTGTAGATAACATGTTTCCAACTTCCTCTGTCGGCGGATGCCAGGTGCTTTGTTTCCTGCTCGTTCATTTCAAGATCTGTTGCAAAGATAGGTTTCCTGGAGAGGATCCATGCGAAAATCCAGAGCCACCAATTTCTGATAGAATCACCTGCGGATGAGAACGGGAGCGACTTGGATCTGGGAAATGACCAATTAGCTGCTGCTGCAGGGATGCTGTTCAGAGAGGAACTTGATAGACGTCTCCGAATGCCTCCTCCTGCTGCGGCTGCATCGTCGTCTTCTTTGGTGGATACAGGGAGGGCATTTCCGTTTCTATTGGGAAAGAAGCTTCTGCTCATGATGATGTATACTGTTGTCTCTTTTCTCTCTATCTCTTGTGTGTTATTTGTGGGTTGCTAAAACCTTGGTAGCTTTGTTTGTGGAGAACTCATGATGATAATATTATGGTGAAATGTATCCTTCACAGCTCTATCACAGCCTGTTTATTCCCTATGTGGGGTCTATTTCTTCACCATTAAACTTTTAATTTTTATTTAATTCAGTTAAATCACACAAACAAAGAGTTTGGATCTCAAATTCAATTAAATAGTGTTTAAATTATAAATTAATTTAAAAATAAAATAAAATTATAAATAGTTTGATTTAATAAATGTGTACAAAATTAAAAATTAAATAAAATGATTATTTATTTTGTATAAGTTGCCACCAAATTCATTGGTTAGATTAAGGTATTGTCGGTGTACCTGCCTAGACTCATTTCAAGTCCAAGTGTAATAAATGGTAGTCTGCATTTGTCTAATTATTAACCCAACAATAATAATCCTTTTATACATGTATTGTACTATATGTTATGTGATGTGAGTTAATGCTTTATTCTCTTTTCTTTATCGGACATCAACGCCTAGCATACCGTAATTTCATTAAGCATCCAGATGCAAAATATGAATCTGAATGCAAGTTATTTATGATCCTATTTTATAGAATGACCAAAAAAAATGTAAATAGAAAAAAAAAAGATTAGTTCAAAGATTAAAACAATTTGAATTAAAATACTAGTATATGAGTAATGAGCCGTGAATATTTCTTTAAAAAATAATTCAAATAAGAGTGTGAGTAAGATATTTGGGGTGCAGAAAGTAAAAGGGTTGAAAATGTTTTTCGAGGCCCAAAGTGAGTAAGAAAAAAAAATTGCGAAGTGAGATAACAGGAAAAGGAAAGGGAGAGTGAGATCTGCTTCAATTGAATTGAATTTCGAAAAAGGAAAAAGTTTAGGCTAAGTTTTAAAGTGTACATCTCTTTTCTTGTTCTCCTGTGATATCTAATAGTAAAATGGAGTACAGGAAAATCAAAGATGAGGTGAGTGGTTTTGATCAACATTGATTCATTGATTTCTTGAATTGATTGATATTAATACAATTTTTTGCATTGTTATTTTGTTTAGGATATAGATATAGATAGGGATGTGGAGGTTGAGGATGTTGAAAAATCATTTTTGCTTTCAGGTATGGTGTCTATGCATTCTCTTTCTCTTGTCTTATAATAATTCCATTTTCATTTTCTTATCTTTTCATACGCTACACTTCCAGTCCCTTCGGTCTCTGGAGAACCCAAAATTGATACTCACAAGACCAAAGCACAGTGGAAGCGCAAGTATGTGACATTTTTTTCCCATATATCTTTAATTACCAAACACTAATTTTGTTTCATTTCATTATTATAGGTCACTTGTTACATTTGCATTGACTATTCTTACTAGCTCCCAAGCCATTCTAATTGTTTGGTCTAAGAGAGCTGGCAAGTATGAGTATAGTGTTACTACTGCTAATTTTTTGGTATGTATGTCTTCTACTTCCCTCATACTCCTTCTATTTTAACCTGCTTTCTTTTATATTTTATTTTCTTCTCTTATGCTTATTCTAGGTAGAGACTTTAAAATGTGCTATCTCCCTCGTAGCCTTGGCAAGAACATGGAGAACAGAAGGTGTAACCGACGACAACAGGTGCTCTTTTTTTTATATTAATAAATTAAATCTTGCTTGGTTAATTACTAGAAGGACTTTATGTGGCTACAACCTATACCTATACAAGTATTTTCGTGGGGTCACTTTAATTGTTCTGTTCGTGTTTAGGTATTTGCAACTTCATTTTTTATATTGAACTTTTATCTTTTCCCTTGTTGATTGTGTATGGAAAGTTAGTTTAAGTAATTTGATGTTGATTGTGCCTTTAACCTAGGTTGAATACAACATTTGACGAAGTTAGCGTGTATCCTATCCCAGCAGCACTTTACCTTGTCAAAAATTTGCTTCAGGTTACTGACAAATGGTTTATGTTTGTTATTTCATCAATGGAATTATCCTACAAAACTTCTTTTTTTCCTTTTTTCGCAACAACATATGTTACAATGCTTTCTGAAATATGATTGTAAGTACTTTTCAATTTTATGGCAGTATTACATCTTTGCATATGTAGATGCTCCAGGCTATCAGATATTAAAGAACTTCAATATTATCAGTACAGGCGTGCTCTACAGAATTATACTTAAGAGAAGGTACCAGTCTTGTTTTTTTGTTGTTTCTTAAAATAATAAAAACTTTTTTCAATTCTCCTATCATCATAGTAACCGCTGGTGATGGATCAAGAAAATGTCATATCCTTTGTATTCTAAGTTTCAGTGCTAATATTCTTTATTCTGCAGAAATTATTGTAATCCTTAAGATTAAGCTATTATTTATATTGTTGACCGCATCACCAAAATTCATGGTTTAGGAGACGCTTAGTGTTGTGTTCTTATTACATTTCAGGTTGAGTGAGATTCAGTGGGCTGCTTTTGTTCTACTAACTGCTGGGTGCACTACAGCTCAGCTGAATTCAAAGTAAGACAAATCCAAAGCAAGCCATGTGGCCATCACTTTTGTGTTTCTTACTAGGTTCATGTTGCTCTTCTATAGTTGTTATCTATTAATATTCATGTCAATGAAATGTTTTTACACAGGCAGTGAGTGACAAACAAATTAATCATAATAGATTATATTGGGATAGGCATCATCACTACTAGAAAATATGTGATATTCAATTAACCATTCCTTAAACGCACCATACTTAATATTGAGGATCAAGGCATTCTTCTAGCCTTTTTTTGTTTACATAATTTTTCTGAAAGATTATTGGTTTTTTTATTTTGTTTTGGGAAGACTGTTGCATAGATGCATTTTTTCTCTTTGATATTTCCCCGTTAGAATTCTATAGTTCCATTGATTGGTAGAGAGAATTCTGAGTTGGATTCTTCTGTTTTCTGTTTTATATATTTCCTGAACTAAATTACAATAGGTGTGACCTATTTATAGACTCACAGCCAACTGAATCAGTTAGTTAGCTCTCAGATCTTAGGGATTAGTTAGGAGCAGTTGTACAGAGGGGCAAGTATACTGTGCAGCTAGTGCACAGTAGCTACAATAGGAGTTCATGTTGTACTAAAGAGATTAATAGGCATCCTTCAATATTATATACTGTCTAAATAAGAGTTTAATATCCATCCTTCAATATTATGCACTGTCTAAATAAGAGATTAATAGCCATCCTTGTATCACATCATGATACACCATATCAATTTGGTATCCTATTAGTCTAAGTATCTATTCTTTCCCCTCTTCTTTTTCCCTTTCATGATTAAGCAGTTCTTTAAACAATATAAAAATATGGGTAGAAGTTTGTTGTTTTATTGATATTTCTTTTTAATATTTGTCTGACTTTGTTTTTCAGTTCTGATCATGTTCTTCAAACTCCCGTTCAAGGTTGGGTGATGGCAATCGTGAGTTGCTTACATTTGTGGTACTCACACATTAGAAATATAAAGTAGCGATGACTAAATTTATGGTTGAAATGATCATGATGAGGTTTTCCTTTTCAGGTCATGGCTCTCTTGAGTGGTTTTGCAGGAGTGTATACTGAGGTGATTTTAATTAAAAGCAGTTACATTAATTTCTTGAGGTTTCTTGAATGACTGCCTACTTCAATCCATTGCCTAATTTGTACTGTATACTGTTGACTTCTTTTAACTCCTGGAATATATTAAAACTGGATGAATATTGTGGTAAAAATTGTTTAAAATTCGAACACTTTTGTATCAAGTTCAAAACATTTAAATTGTTATCTAAATTTATTAATACTCGAGTTAAATTTGATTGGTCAATGGATATACCGGTCTGCTTAGAATAACATTTTTGAACTCTCTTACTATAGCATTGAGTAAGATTCTTAGCGAACAATCATGACTTTGTAATTTTTTTTAAAATTATATTGGCAGGCTATTATCAAAAAGCGTCCTTCTCGGAACATAAATGTTCAAAACTTCTGGTTGTATATCTTTGGCATGGGCTTCAATGCTATTGCAATATTGGTTCAAGATTTTGATGCAGTGGTGAACAAGTAAGTCAACCACCTCTTTCCGATTTTACTTTTGCAGTTTATTTTGGTCTTTTCTAACTAATATGTTCCGATTTTTTCATGTTTTTTTTTTTTTTTTGCATAAATTTAATTCCTTCTTATTAAACTTGGATAACACAGTCAATGGCCAAGTGTTATCTACCTAAAATGTCATGCCAATAATATGTTACTTATTTCCTATATTATAATGTATATGCAGGGGATTCTTTCATGGATATTCGTTCATTACCTTTCTTATGATTATCAACCATGCGCTCAGGTAAATGTCAATTGATGAGCTTTATAAAATTTCTCGAATGCTGGGAGATTTTCCTTAACTCCTATTCTTAATTGAATATCTCTCGTTGTTGGATTGAGATCCAATCTGCTGACATGGGATAATGAGGCAGGGAAATTTGACATGTGATGGACAAGTTGTATTGTGATTTAGTCATTAGTTTTTTTTTCTTTTTTTCTTCTTTGGCTTCTTCTGTTTCTTCCTGAAATGATGGTTACTTGTGATGTGAAGTATGGGAATCAAAAGAGATAAAAACAACATTAAGTTTTGATATTGTTGATGAAACTGTGTGTAAGTCTCAGAAGAGCCAAATGCCAACAACATGACATAGTCCCTATTTCAATTTTATCATCAGTTATTCAACTTTCAACTGCTCTCTCTCTTTTTCAATGTTATCTTAGTTTTCTGGTTTCCTAATTGTTTTTGACAGTGGAATTGCTGTATCAATGGTGATGAAATATGCTGACAACATTGTGAAGGTAAGACTGGGATTATGACTGTATAATATGACATTTCTACGACTGAATATTTACACGTGTCTGAAGAATTTGTTACATCGAATAGTGTAATTAAGATTATGGCATTTCTTATAATTGGAATAGTTCATGTAGAGAATAACCTTTTTATTAGGTGTCTCTAGATTTTAAGGTCATGCTTGCTCATCTGAGGAACAGTCAAATGACTACAAAAATCATAAAGATATTGTTGGAATAGAGTTATATAGCTTGCAGTGAGGCCATTGTTTTTCTCTTTTGACTTTTGCTTGTATGAAAATCACTGTAATTGGAGTTTTAAGCATCTATCTTTGGCTCATTTGCTTCATAACAACATACTATTAATATGATGTAAGGTTAGAAAAATCGCAAAGTCTGAACAAGTTCATAACAACATCTATAACACATTTGCTATTTTTTATCCCCTCTTCATTTAATTGTATGGAGCTGCATTATGATGAATGTTAAGCATCAAATGTACTCTATATGCATATTTATAAGTGTTTTGCATACTTTATTTGAACATCACATCACTTTAATTATCACAAAAAAGGGCCGTGAAATGGAATTCAAATTTATGATTAACTTCCAAATTGCATCACTTTAATTATCACAAAAAAGGGCCGTGAAATGGAATTCAAATTTATGATTAACTTCCAAATTGCATCAATTTACACAGGTGTATTCTACTTCAGTGGCAATGCTTCTTACAGCAGTTGTTTCTGTATTCCTTTTTGGCTTCCATCTCTCCCTAGCATTCTTCCTTGGAACAATGTAAGTTGTTAGTTATATCACGAACAGGCTTGCATGTCACATGGTTGTGTATTTCTTCCAATGGCTAAGCATTTCACATGCATCAAATAGGGATTAACAGAGAACATCAATTCATCACATTAAATCGTCTGAAATTAGTATGTTAAAATATATTGAGGGTATTGTTGGCTTTTAATCCTAATTCGCATTAGATTTTTAAACACTTCATTTTCATGTGCATGCCATGTGGAAGTAGCTCAATGCTTCATTTTCTAATATTGCATGAAATTATATAATCCTTTGCTTTCTCTTTTTCTCTTGAGTAAAAATTCGTTAAATATGTTTACAGTGTCGTCTCTGTTTCAATATATCTGCACTCTGCTGGGAAGATCCAAAGATAACTATGACTTCTGGCTGCCCTATATTTTTACGACATAGGATATTTAAAATTCTTATTCGTAGTTGCTTGGTCTCATTTTAAATTTTATTTTGAAACAATTAGTTCAGTGTTAGTTTATACTTTGAAATCCATCTTGGGTATTTCTCAACAAAGATGGAACCGTGTTCTTGAAAGGTTGTATGTAAGTTCTACTATATTGTAAGCAGATGATTAAGGCATTAAGTCTAATGTTACAGGAATTTGCATATCTTGTTATTCAAATCAACACATGTATTGCAGAGATATTTAAGGAACTATTTTTTTTTTTTTAATAATTTGAAGAACTAGATCGCAGTTGGAGATTGATGGAGAACTTTGTTGTCAAGCAACACTCTTGATGACATATAAATGCGATAAAAGTAGTTTGATTTTTCATTAATGGTAAAAGAAGAAGAAAGTGAAAAGGAAGATTAGAGAAAATCATAATTTAAAGTTTTATTTATTTTTTTAATTTTAAATAATATTAACTATAACTGTCAATATTATTCGGAAAAATATAAAGGATAGATACAATTTATTTAATGGATGATATGATATTTTATTGGATACTAGTATGCTCAACATTAGAGAAGATGTTCCCATTGAATTTAGAAACGGGAGGTAAAAAACATGTTGAAAAGGATGAGCAGCAGTAAGACGCTTGAGTCAAACAACATACATATTAAAGTGTAATTTTTTTGGAGATAGTAAATGTTGGATGAATGAAGAAGAAACATTTTATTTCCAATCTATAAGAAAAAATGGGATATATAAAATTGTAAAAATTATAGAAGAATTTATTATATGTCATACCATGAAGTTATGAGGAAAAATGATTGAACGAAGACTAAAAAAAAAATTTAACTCATTGAGAATCAATTTGATTTTATGTCTGGGAGATCAAACATGAAAGTGCTATATCTACTATGTGTGAAAGACCAATATCATATGGACTAACAATACTTGTACTTATTTTTTATTGACTAGGAGAAGACGGAGAAGACGTATGATAGAGTGCTTAGAGATATTTTTTGAGAAGTCCTAGAGAAGAAAAATGTTGGAATTGCATATATTCGAGATATCCAAGATATGTATGAAGGAGTATCAATTAGTGTGCGGACACATAATGGAGAAACATATGACTTTCCCATTGCATAGAGTTGCATCAAAGTTTAATCCTAAGCCCTTATCTTTTTACTTTAATTTTGAATGTATTCATGGAACACATTCAAAAGCTAGCACCGAGGTGCGTGCTTTTTTTTTGCATATGATATAGTTCTACTTTGAGAGTCGAATGCAAATTTAAATGAGGTTGAAGACTTAAGACGAGTTTTAGAAACACATGACTTTTACATAAGTAGAAGTAAGACGGGGTATATAAGATATAAGTTCAACAAAAAGATAAATGTTTCTAATCTAAAGGTAAAAGTTGTATACCACATTCAAGATGAAAGATCTTGGACTAGTTGACATGATTTTAGAGATCAAGTAAAGCTAAATAGTGGGGTTATGAATTTAGTCAAACACATTATGTTGAGAAAATACGTAATAAGTTCAAACACTTACACTTCAAGGAAGTGATCACTCCATTTTATCCCACTGTCAAACTTTAAAAGAATGATGAAAGAGTTTAGGCTCAATTGGAATATACAAGTGTAATTTGTTGTCTAATGTATTTGATGCAATGTATCAAACCCTATATCATTTGCAGATAGTAAAATGAACAAATTTTTATTAGCAATCCAAATACTGAACATTGGAAGATCATCACAAGGATTTTCAGCTATCTCTTGAAAAGCAAAAACTGTGCCATTCATTATGGTAGGTTTCCCGTCATATTAGAGGGATATACCGATGAGAGTTGGATATCGAGTGTTGGAGATCATAAATCCACAATTGGGTGGATATTTACACTAACTGGAGGTGAAGTTGTGAAGAAAACACAAGAAAGGGGGGGGGGGGGGGGGGGGGGGCTTGAATTGGGTTTTCCGTTCATAGCACTTTCGTCTCTTAACATTGTTGTGTTAAGTGATGCTTTTGAATATATTATGGAAGCATAAACATTAAAGCATAAGCAAGAGTAAAGAACACATGATATACCCTGGTTCACTTGAGAAATCCTCAAGCTAGTCCAGTTCACCCTACCAATGTGATTTCTCCTTGAACTCAATGACTTAATTCACTATAAACAAACTGATTACATTTGCACACCCACCAACTGTATGTGACTAACTATACAATCTTTAAGACACACAAGTATTAAACTTCTCAAGAATACTGACCTAACTAGTCTCTCAAGGAATAATCTTTAAGACACAGAAGTCTTAAACTTCTCAAGAATATTGACCTAATTGGTCTCTCAAGGAATAACCTTTAAGACACAAATTTTAAACTTCTCAAGAATTCTGACCTAGCTGGTCTCTCAAGGAACAATCAAACAACTGTTTGAATAATTCATTTACAATGAAAATGCTTCTACACAAGTGGATATGTAAATAATAATTTTAGAACATAGACTAGAGAAATATGAAAGTGTATGAACAATCTCTTTAGAATGTGTAGGCGTGAATTCACAGCTTTCTCTCATAGTCTTCAAGTCTTTATATAGCCAATAAAATATTATAACCGTTGAAGGGTATTTCTGGAATTTCCAGAAAGTTAGCAGCTTGAGCAATCGTGTAGGAGACAAGATCGTACGCAACATTCGTTCTTCATGGTAGTGGAATGAAACGTTTTGATTGTATCATGTACTATTGTACCACATTAACATTATCTTATTTCCTTTTGTACTTTAGAGGCTTCTGCGAGCATGAGCTTAGAAGAGAGAACATAATATTAAGGTCATCAGAACTTCAAGTCTCCAGAGTCTTCAGAACTGCATCTTCAGAACTGCGTCTTCAGAGTCTTCAACACTTGGTCTTGAGAATCTTTTCTAGAACCTTGGGTCTTCAGAACTTCAAGTATTCAGAGTCTTAAGAACTTCGTATTCAGAATCTTCAGCACTTGGTCTTGAGAACCTTTTCTAGAACCTTGGGTCTTCAGAACTTCAAGTCTTCAGAGTCTTCAAAACTGCGCCTTCAGAATCTTCAGCACTTGGTCTTTGAGAATCCTTTGTCTTCATAAACATGAGTCTTCAGCATCTGGTCTTCAGTAGAAACTTCTGTCTTCAGATCTTCTGATTGGTTTCTTTAGAGCACGTTGTCTTTAAAAACACGAGTCTTTAGCATCTGAACTTCAATAGAAACTTCTATCATCAGATCTTCTGATTGGTTTCTTTAGAACAAGTTGTCTTCAGAAACATGAGTCTTTAGTATCTGGACTTTAGTATAACTTTTGTCTTCAGATCTTCTGACTGGTATCTTTAGAACAGGTTATCTTCAGAAACATGAGTCTTTAGCATCTGGACTTCAATAGAACTTTTGTCTTCAGATTTTTAGAACTTGGTTTCTTGGACATGTATCAAAGTCACAACTTCAGATCCTTCTGAAGCATCTTGATATTATTGATCAGAACTTGTGTAGCACAGAAGCAGAACTAATTCTCTTCTAATGTCTTGGCTATGTCATCCATCAGAAGCAGAACCTGTTTGTTAAATACTAAAAAATAACAAACATTAAAGTATAAATTTTTTTCATACAAACATATTCATTTGTTATCATCAAAACTCATAGATAATATCGCAGAACCAAATCTTGTTCTAACAATCTCCCCCTTTTTTATGATGACAAAACTATGTATTTTGATGACACAATTTTGTTCATATAATAAAAAAAGTGAAAATAAAAAGAGTAAGAACACTTATCCTTTTTATGAAACTCCCCCTGAGTCAACTACTTGATGAAGCTTGAATATCCTGACTCTGAACCATTTGAGTAAAACTCCCCATGGTTCCAATAGATTAAATATTGAGATCTTGAGAGTCTTGACTCTAGATACCAATAGAACCAATTGATATCTTAAATTCATCAGAGCTTCTTCTTATTGAATCTTCTATCCATATTTTTCAGATAGTCTTCAACTTCTGATTCGCTCAGTTCTTCTAGAAAGTATTTGCTTCTGCTTTTGATTCTTATGTTATGAATATCACATACTCAGACATTTTATATCTTCTGAACATTATGATACCAAAATAAAGATAACTTTAACTTTTAGAAAGTTATCAACTTCTGAGCAGTGTTGGGTTTATCTGATTCTTGAACATATGTTCACAAAGTGTACAACTTATTTAGAACTTTAAGAACTTTAACAAAGTTCTTTAATTTTGACCTGTCTTAGAATGACTAGTGAACTTGTTCACAGTTTCTCAATTAATCATCAAACAAACACACGTCAGCGGTAAATGCACATTTTATTATTATGATGAGTTTTACATTTCTTTTAAGGTTTATTAAAATCATTATATTTCTTTCCCTTTTGACATCATCAAAAAGTTAGAGAATCTAAACCAGTTAAAGTATGATTAATATGCTAATAAATCTCTGCATATTATCTAAATTATAATAATGTGTTATGACTGGACAATATAAGTAAAAGAATATATCCAAAAGGTATTTCATTAAAGGATTAAGAAGTACACCAAGAGAAAACTAAAACAAAGAGAAACTTAGATTAGAACAAGAACTATCCAAAAACTAAGATTTTAAAAACATTACAGCCAAGATTTTAATCATCAAAATCTTCAACTACGCCCACCCTAGCACACCTTTCATCAACCAGCGCATATTTAGGTCCAATCTTATTTATCGATTCCCGAATTCCTTCTCGGACCATTATCTCAGACAATATCCTTCCATAAGGAATGTAAGATCGAGACTGTTCTTGAGACTTCAATGGAATGTTTCAGATGATTGAAAATGGGTTTGGGAAGATTGATCTTGAATTGATGTATCAAGAGAAAGATAAAATGTATGTCGTCATGAGACAGAGTGCTTCTTGCTGTAGCTCGTGGATGGAGGTTGGAAAGAGAGAATCTAAACCAAGTTC